TGTGGATGAACTTCAGACATGTCATTATACCCTTGAAATTATGAAAATATGAACATGCGCATTTTCCTGGGGAATGGGTCAAAAGCTTTCATTATATTCTGTTAAGATCCAAGTACCAAAAAAGAAAAAAGCACCACTCAACTAGAGGAGATAGGAGGGAAATATTATAACCTAAATTTAATCCTAAAACTAAATTTAAACAACTTATTTGCTAAATTAGTGTCCTATTTTATCCTTTTGAAAATACCACTGACACCTATAAAAGTGTTTGAAATAATTTGGGTACTCAGTTTTTCACACTATGGGCACATAGATATAAAAGATAATTAATTGGACAACTGAGACAGGGGTGCTTTCTTGTCAAGAAGATATTTCAACACTGCTAGTTGTGTCATTCACTGCGCAACAAGGGTTTTATACATTTAGCAGAACCACTGAATTAGAGAGTCAGGAAGCCTAGGTTCTAGTACCAGTTTTATTTATAACTAACCACGTACAAATCACTTATCTATAAAATAATGGTTAACATCTACTCCCTAAATTCACAAATATATCACAAAACCAAAATCCTTCCCAAGAAAACCTCTTTGTAAACCAAGACATCCCTACTATTTAGCCTAGGCTTTAACTAAAAGGTTAAGAATGACAAATTGGAGAATTTGCCTTCTATACAAAAGTTGAATATCTTTATTCTGCAGATAGGTAATCTAGTTAAGTATTGTCATGTTTCAACCTTATAGAACAAAAAGCTATTAACTAAGAAGTTAATGGTGAGGAAGTTGGCCGCAAAATAAGAATATTGAGAAATAGCTTTCTATGTTAAAGAGCAGTGCTTATAATATCCCTGAAGTCAAATGGAATAAAAGTTAGCCTTAGGCCACTGAAGCATGTTTACCCTTTTGAAGAAACATATACTGGTAGGGCAGGTATCTTATTTCACTAGAAAAGATCTTAAACAGGAATGTCTTGTAGACTCTTTAAATGGCCAATCAAAATGGCTAAGAAAACATTATTTGTGGGTTTTTTGTTTCTCTATTCTTTCTCATTCAAAAATTCAGTTCCCCATCTTGGATCAAATTCCTCTGTCCTCTGCCAGGGTGTAAGAAATATTAGCATTCTGTCATTAAAGAATAAACAAAGAAGAGGAATTAGCATGTTACTTAACAAAGATTCAGGAAGATAATTCTATATGGGTATAGAAAAATGTATACACCAGAAACATTAGTATATGCATATGTATACCATTTATCATATGTATGTACTGTGACAACATATGTATTAATAAACCTTCAAATGTAAGCACCTATATTTTCTTGTATTTAACAATGTCAGTTATGTGCCATTTAGTATCTATTTATGGACTTTCCCGTACATGTGGTGACAAAAACAAACAAGGACTGGAGCATGGTTCACAGAGAAACATAGAACATATACAAATACCATAATAAAATAGCCACGTATACCAGTGCTTAAGGGAGTATTTTGGAGGAAACATAGTTTCACTACTGGCCCCAAATGCCGTCATTCATTTATGTCCTTTAACTGTCAACTTTTAATACAAAAATACCTTCAAGCTGATACCAAGAACATTTACTTACAAAACTGACAGAATATTTCAATGCTACACAAAACAGTTCTATACATAGCTTAAAGTTCTTTGCTGGCACTTGATTTTATAATTGATAGACACAATAACTACTCATCTCAATAAAATAATGTTTTTAGCCTCTACATATTTTCAAAACCAATATTACCTCACAAAACAGTAAAGAATAAATCACTTCCTGCTGAAGAATCCTCTAGGACGAACACCAAAACTATACAGCCAAAATATTTTAGAGAAGCAAATAAACCTTTGTCCAGTGGGAAAAAAATTGTTCCTGACTTATGAAGCATATATCAGGCATAGATCAAAATTATGAACTTAGAAAACAAGTTACCTTTTTTGTTTTTTTGGTTTAGAAGGGTATTTAAATAATTGGTGGCACTACTAGAAAGGATGTTTCTTTAGATAAAAAATTAGTCACATTTAGCAAATAAACATTTTATATTCCAAAATAAAAGCTGAGATTTCTTTTAAAACAGTGGAATCCTGATTTTTTTATTTTCTGTAAACTTGTAAGGCCATTCCACACATTATCAGAATAAAATCACTATTCGGTAACTTAATATACATATCCATTTTTCTTTGCAGAAGAAAACCAAACCAAATTTAACAAACTATATTTAACTTAGAATACTAAAAACTGACTAGTTTAAAATTTCTGAAATCTACTTTCATTATTCTGAAGGAAAATATATACCTTCAAAACTCGACCAACAATTCCTAGTCTAGTTTTCTCTTAACAAATTATAAAGTTAAATTCCTTGTAGCACTAAACAGAATTTAAAAATTAAACAGAAGACTAAATTAGAATAATCAAAATATAAACATACTAACTAATCAAAACAATCCACTGCTGCAATGAATATTTCAACAAAACAAAAAACACCAAGCATCCTAATCAATTATATAGTTCCTTTTTGCATATTTTAATTCTGGACTTTTAGCACAGTAAATTACTAAACAGGTTGATCACATGGGCTGTTAAAATTTTGTATTATTTCAAAATATTACCCTTTCTAAACCAAATCTGTGGTCTTAATCAACTTTTTTTCCCCCAGGAAAAAGGGATATCTTTTTAGGATACATTCTATAGCAGTAGAAACATCTTAGTGTTTCAAAATACTATTTACAAAGAACCCTGCTGATCCTGTGCATTTCGCTGAGGTGCTACTTGCACCCAGACTTCATCATCAGAAAAAGAACTTGAACTTCCTGACTCAGAGTCCAGCTCACTGAATCCATCTAAGTCCCATTCAGTACTAGACTCACTCCGTGCATCATCTTCCTCAGTGATAAAACTCTGACCGGGTTCAAGGCAGGAAGGATAAACACGAGCACAGAGGCAAATAAAGCCAGAGTCAAACTGCAAAAGGCCTAACATAGTACCTATATTAATCCATTGGTCTTCCCTAGTATCATATTCATACACAGTCACCCGGTTCTTTTTCCATTGTGGGGTTGTAGAAGTGATGAGTAGCAACTTTTGGTCATGATTGACAATCTGGTAGTTGTGGGTCTCTGAGTCCAAGGGAATATTACTAATCCGCCTCCATTCTCCCCTAGCTGGGTTGTAGACCTTCATGACTGGGATGTCACAGATACAATAGATTTCGTCATTAAAGACACATGCTTCCTGAAAGTCACTGCGTTTAAGAGAAGCACAGTTCAGCCACATATTGTGGCTAGGATCATAGCAGAGCATGCGCTTACTGTTGACAGCATAAAGATAGTTCTGAACCACTATTAGTTCAAAAGAATAGAAAGAATGGGGTACAGGCGCCACCAGCGCCCACTGGTTCCTCTGAACACTATAGCATTCCACTTCCTTCAATTTAACTCCGGTAATAGGGTCTCGTCCACCCAAAATGTAAATGTAGCCATTGAGGTACGCCACATCCATGCCCTCACGACACAGCAAGCGATCTGCAAGCTGCTGCCAACTATTCTGGGCTGGTTTATACACCCAGAGGTCTTTTCTGGGCTGGGCTGCTAGATATATGTCATGGTCTGGAGAGACACAGACAGCTGAGGAGGTGATAGTTTTAGTGTGAGCCAAGCTGGTCAAAGGTGATGGCATTGTGTAAATGTCCCCTGAGTATGGGTCATAGCAGAGAAAGGGATCTCTGGGATGTCCAAAAAAGATCACCATTTCCTTGGCACACATACCCAGTCTCTGAGGTGGATTTTCTACTGCAGATACAACAGAGCTGCTGCTGCTACTGCTGCTGCTGCTGTTTGCTTTTGGCACCAGAGACTTGTACAACATGTCACCATAGCGCATCTGAAGGGCCCCTTCAATGATGTCCAGGCAGTACTTCTTCACAATGGGCTTGGTCAGCAGCCCTTGCAGGTAGTCCTGATCATTTTCAGTGAAGTGTGTCCAGCGGACACACTTGAACACTTCTGCAGCACTGGGACCCCGCTCTTTGGGAGCTGCCTCCAGCCACTGCACGGCCACATGGCATACAGTCCGCTCACTTTCTATGTCCAAACTATCCAGGCGTAGGACAGCCAGCAGCTGGGCCAGGGTCAGATCTGCTAGAGTTTCCTCCCGAATTGAACCCATTCGACTGAGCTGCTTGAAGTTGTGAGCTATATAGGACTGGGCCTGAGAGCGTAGCTTGTGATGGTCAAAGGCGTCAGCAAATTTGAGGATGGCAGTGCAGTTGGCCAGGTCAAGACGGCGGGCTAAGAAGGAGGCACAGGCTTCCCGCACATACTCCAGCTGCAGCATGTCGGAGGCTGCATACAGACGCTGCACATTGGCCTCACTCAGGGACACACGACCCGTGTAGCAGTAGTCGACCAACACCTCGAAGGACTCAGCGTCCACATCGTGCATGGTCACACTCGCCTGCTGGCTCTCGTACATGCCGCCCGTGAACATGCTCTTGAAGTAGGGACACGCGGCGGCCAGCACGTTGCGGTTGCAGGAAAAGAGGCGACCGGTGCCAGGCCCGCTGCCAGGCGTCACCACCTCGATGGTCACATCGCACAGCAGCCGCGCGTCGTAGAAGGACTTGAGCTGTGCCAGCAAGGCTGCAGAATGAGCCGTGTCCTTTAATTCTTCTGGGCCTGTGAAAAAGGCCGAAACCGAGGGCTTAGAAATCCTCTTGGGCCGCCTCCCACCGCGGGGACTGGCGAGGCGGCGAGAGCGCGGAGCGTCTTCCCGGGACTGCATGGTGGAGATGGCGGCGGGACGCTGAGCGCGAGAACGGCGGCAGGGACCCGGCTCTGGCTCCTCCTCACCCTTCCTTCGCTGACGCTAAGACAGCGGCGTCGCGGAACAGACCGCGGCTCGGGCCGCACTTACTTAATTCAGCCCTGCGCCGCGGTGCCGCCTCCCTTTATCGCGTAGAGACAGTGCCTGACTCACCCACTTCCAGTTCCGCGCCCTTTCTCCGCCTCAGCTCGCCCTCACTGGACCCGCTGGCTGGAGCCGAGAGAGCCGCCACTGCCGTGCTGGCGAAACCGGTAGGCGTCTGAGAGAACTACCACTCCCAAGTTGCCTTTCGCACCTCGAGGCAGGCTGGGGGCTCCCGGGACTCCCGGGCAGAGACAGAAGCCGCTTTGCATATTGGGAGTAGTAGTTTGTGTAGTATCGCGATCTTTGTTGTCGTTGACGACTTTATCTAACAGAATTAGCGTTGATTCTCTTGGATTTGACGGTTAAGAGCATTGGCTTACAGATTCAGAATAGAAGCCCCGTGTTGTTATTCATTACATTTGTGACTTTTCTCTGAAAAGTTTTCTATTTTAGTAAAGTGGAGATTATTAATAATTCATAGGGTTGTGTGAGTATTGAATGATATAAATTACTTAGGACACTTTGATACGTATTTTATGAGAAGAATAAAATGACACACCGTGTCTAGAACATAGTCGATAATTGTTAGCCTTTTTTGTAGACTTTTTGACAAGTCAGTGACTAATTTGAAACCAAAAGCCTTTAAAAAACTGCAAATTTTTGCAGAGAAAGAACTTTCAGTTTTTAATTTTTTCTTTTGAAAAGTTCTGAAGGGTATTAACAGTATCTTCAGTGTTAAACAGGATCCGTAGGAACATTGGGATGTCCTTGACGACTAAGTTGAGGTCCTAGAGAACAGCATTAATAGATGGCTTCAAATATGCGAATCAGACCTATGAAAATAGACGGTTTCATGCTCTCTAACCAAAAAAACATTTCATCTCTGGGGAGCAAGAGTATTTTCAATAAACTTGAAAACACTCATAGTACTTCAATAAGTGTTTTAATATGAGTGTTTTCAACTCGTCTAATACAGCTTCTTTTACTGCCATTCTACGAATTGAAGATTTTGCAATTGCCTTTATTAAGGCGTTTTGGGGAAAATTTTAAATCAAAATATTTCAACGAACAGACTTTGTTCTGTACAAAAAGCACATGATTCCTAAAGTTTGGCACCCATACATGCCCTGAAATTCTTTGAATTAATAAAGTACAATCCATACTTTACAAAAGTCTTTTATGTAATGTATTGATCAATATTGTTAAATCATCAAAATCAAGGATTAGAGATTGATTTTTTTAAAGACAACTTTTATTTAAAAACCAGTGAATGTTCCTGCTGCTAATTTGCCATGAATTACCATAACCTAATGATGAAAATCGTCAACATTACATTTTTAAAAATTTTTTTATATAGGTAAAATACACATAATTAAATTTACCATTAAAAGAGTTTTAAATGTACAGTCCTTTGGCATTAAGTATATTGTTTTGCAACCATCACCACCATCCCTCTCTAGAACTTTTCATCTTGCAAAACTGAAAATCTGTATCTGTTAAACAATAACTCTCCATTCCTCCAATAGCTGGCAACCACCATTCTACTTTCTGTCTCTATGAGTTTGATTACTCTAGGTACCTCATATAAAAGTTCAGTGACTGATTTTTCACTTCCTTATATCTGCCCTTACTGTGTTATTTCCTTAGATTACCTTTCACAGAATCCAAAATATTTATTGGACACTGTTTCCTAAGGTCTAGAGCAGTGGTGTCCCATAGAACTTTCTGCAATGTTGGAAATATTTTATATCTGTGCTGACTGACGGGGTAGCCAGAAGCCATATGTAGCTCTTGAGTACTTGAAATGTGGCTATTGCAACTGAGGAACTAAATTTTAAATTTTAGAAGCACAGCACTGATACCAATGCAATTCAATGGAGAAAGAAATAGTCCTTTTATTTAATAACAAATGGTGTTGGAACAACTGGATCAGAATGTAAGACAAAAATTAACCTTCACTCCTACCTTATACCGTAAACAAAAATTAATTTGAAATGGATTTTAGTAATAAATGGAAACGTAAAAACTTTAGCTTCTAAAACAAAACATAGATGACTATCTCCATAACATTGAGGTTGGCATAGATTTCTTAGGACACAAAAACATGAATCATAATAAAAGACAAAGTGAATTTCAACAAAATTACAAGCTTCTGACCTTCAAAAGACAGTGAAAACAAAATAAAAAGGTAAGCCATAGACTGGGAAAAAATATTGGTATTGTATATACCTGATGGCCAATAAACGTATGAAAAGATGTTCAATGTCATTAACCATCAGGTCACAATGAGAAAACACTGAACACCCACTAGAATGGCTAAACTTAAAAAGATCAATGATGTTATTTGTTGGTGAAGATATGCAGCCATTGGACTCTCATATATTAATGATACAAATATAAATTGGTATATTCACATTAGAAAACTCTTTCGGTAGTTAACAGCCAGTAGTTTCACTCCTAGGAAATTGCCTAAGGGGAATGAAAACATATATCCACAAAAAAGACTTGTATAAGAATTTTTATAATAGCTTTATCCATACTACCCCAAAATTGGAAATAAGCCAAGTGCAAATCAACAGGAGAATGAAAAAAATTGTAAAAAAAATTCATACAGCATAAATACTACTCAGAAATAAAAAGAAAACTCTGATACATACAATAGTGTAGATGATTCTCAAAAATTTTATGTTGAGCCAAACAAGCCAGATAGATACACAAGAGTACATACTATGCCAATTTATGTGAAATTTCAGAACAGTGAAAATAAGCTTTGGAGAATACACATCGTAACAGAGGCTATCACTCTTGGGTATGGGGGGGTCAGATTGCTAGACTGGCTGGAAAGGAGCATGAAGAAACTTTCAGGGGTGATGCAAATGTTTTCTTCCTGATGGGGCTGGTGGTTGCATGGGTGAATGCAATTGTCAAACTCAATAAACTGTACTCTTCAGATGTGTGCATTTTGTGTACTCTATACATCCTCTCAGGAGGAGCCATTTCATAATTGCTGGCACTGAACAAAATTGCAGAATTCTTTGCCAGGAAATCATTGTGAAGATAGTTCAGTCATAAAGCAAGGCTCTTCTCATCTAGAGGTGTATAGGGCAACATGGCTCTAATTCATACAATTATCTCAGTAGATGTGGTGTTCCATACACCCGGGACTTGGGCGCCTCTGGGTAATCTTCGAGGATTCAGCATACTGTGGTCTTTCAGATTTCTAGGGTAGTTGAGTGCCCAACATTATATTCAAGTATTCAAGTATTGCTGCCACAACTTTATTAATAACATACTCCTTTTTCTTGTTTTTTTGAGACAGAGTTTCACTCTGTTGCCTGGGCTAGAGTGCTGTGGCGTCAGCCTAGCTCACAGCAACCTCAAACTCCTTCTGCCTCAGCCTCCTGAGTAGCTGGGACTACAGGCATCTACCACCATGCCCGGCTGATTTTTTCTATATATTTTTTTTTAGTTGTCCAGCTAATTTCTTTCTATTTTTTTTAGTAGAGATGGGGGTCTCGCTCTTGCTCAGGCTGGTCTCGAACTCCTGACCTCGAGTGATCCTCCCTTCTCGGCCTCCCAGAGTGCTAGGATTACAGGCGTTAGCCACCGCACCCGGCCAATAACATACTCCTTGTTATCTGTATTTCCTCAAGTTTCCTTGTAATTTGCACAATCCTGTACAATACAATCCACATTCTTCTTGGCAGGAAGATAAAGAGCTGTTTTTAACCGGTAATTACATTTCAGTCATCAACAAAACATGGTTTAGTTCTTTGGGAATCTTTATCTTCAACTCTGTTCATGAATGTTTTCAACAGTGGGATTTACTTGGCTCTTTTGAGGAAGCTGAGGCGTGTGTCTCAGCGGTACTGTCGCCATTTCCGGGTGACTTCACATTTTTCTCTTGCTACCGGATGTCTTGTTTCCTGGAGCAGCCCCTCTCATCTTCCTTTCTGAATTTAGCTCCTGATTTGCTTCTTTAAGTTCTCTCTGTTTCTGCAGATTGGTGTCCCAGTATCTGAATACTTTACTTTCTGGAACCCATTCATCCCAGCTCTTATTCCAGCCAATCCTATAAAGGATTTCACTTGTTTGTTCTTTTTTTTGGCGGGGTGAGGGGCAGAGTCTCACTCTGTTGCCGGGGCTAGAGTGCCGTGGCGTCAGCCTAGCTCACAGCAACCTCAAACTCCTGAGCTCAAACGATCCACTCGCCTCAGCCTCCCAGAGTGCTAGGATTATAGGCGTGAGCCACCGCGCCCAGACCCTTCACTAGTTTGTTGTTTACGGCAATGTTTACACATTTTCCTTCATAAAGAGGCCTGTGAAAGCACGGCACCCACTCACCTTTTCACAGTTTAGGCTTCAGTGCCATTTATAAGTGATTCACCCCTACCTCCTTCTACTTCACCCGACAACAGCCCCTACTCGCTACTCCATCGAAGTCAGCTCAGTGTCAGGCAAGCCATCAGGCACCGCCACCTTTACATGCTGGGCCCACTGGTATTGTTTTCACTCTGATTTTTAAGTACACTCTTAAAACTGTTCACTCCTTTATTTCTGTATTCAAAATGACTCCTGTGGTCTTTCTTCACTCATGGAGACTGATCCGTTCCTCTCTGAAACATCATAAATTTTTTTTTTAAATAACTCCCAATATGGTTTGAATGTTCCCTCCAAAATACATGTTAACAGTTAATCCTCAATGTGGCAGTATTGAGAGGTGAGGCTTTTAAGAGGTGATTGGATCATGAGGGCACAGCCATTACTCGTAAATGGATTAATTCATTCATGGGTTAATGGATTAATGAGTTAACATGGGAGGGGAACTTGTGGCTTTATAGGAAAAGGAAGAGAGACCTGAGGTGGCATGCTCAGTCCCCTTACCATGTGATGCCCTGCATTGCCTCGGAACTCTGCCAGAGTACCCTCCAGCAAGTAGGCCCTCACCAGATTCACACCCTCGACCTTGGACTTCTCAGCCTCCAGAACTACAAGAAATAAGCTCCTTTTCTTTATAAATTACCCAGTTTCAGGTATGCTGATGTAAGCAACAAAAAATGGACTAATACCACTCTGCACTGCCTTTAGCCATTGGCTGTCATGAGAGTTTTTATGGATCCACTCTGTCTCAGTTGGAGGGTGCCTAGTGAGTGAGCAGCCGTAGGGCATGACTTCTGTTCCA